GACAGATATGATATTAGGCAGTATCAGGGTATGCCAAACGTTCGTAATCATCTTTGGTACTGATTATTTTTGTTCAATCTTATCATATTGTGTAGAGAATTTCAATGGCATGGAATGATGATTATCTATTCAAACGTTGTCATTTGTTTTCATAAATTTGATACATGTACATATGTCTTTGTTGGGAAACTATGGGGAATCATGAGTGTTTCTCATTCACTTAACATTTTTTGTTCATACAATCATTGTAACATTAATAATCACACGAGTTTCTGTCGACGACAGTACGGCCTTTAGATTAAGAAACTAGTAAATCAACAAAGTCATGTATGATCAACCCTTAATGTGTTGTCCCTTGAGTTCTCAATTGATCCATCTAGTTGACTAAGACTACTACTAATTCAGTTTATTTTTCAAATACCTCAACAAGTATCTTTTCATAGTGTGTACAACTGAGCAATGATGACAGCCTATATATATTTAGTATCACCAGGGATTATCTTTTCTATGATCATATCCTTTCATCATTTAGTTGATGATCAATGGTTTACAACAAATAATTTTAACTAAACTTTTAAGAAGAATTATATGTATACTTAAGACAGTTAATCAACCTTTCTTCTCATACTATATAGTTATCTACATAGATATATATTATTCCTAATATTTGTTTCATCCAACTTACATTGAATGAAGTATTGACACAATATTTTCTGTCTTATATATTCGAAAAGTAGTGTGCATATACTCAAATATATTTCTATAAGATATGACAATCTAAATAAATTATATTTGCCAAATCTCTTTTTACTCAAAATACTTTTTTTTAGACTGTCATCTAATGGTATACTTTATACATACAGTTATATATATGTTAGATATTAGTTAGATAACAAAATAGGCTATTTGTTGTGTTTATTCTCTCTAATCATAGTATAATGTACATTTTAAAATACAATATACAACTATCCACCATTTTTAATAAATGAACATAATTTATCTCAAACAAACAAACAAACATTAGTTTGGTTATATCTTGATAAATTAATTTGTGTGTTTATTAATTACACATGAATAAATAAATAACATTTAGGCGATGAAAATGTAGTTCTCTCCATTTTGTCTAATGTCTAATTTGTTCTTGATTCTCTTTTCTTTTCTTTTTGTCAATGGGGTTAATCGAATTTTCTTTTCTATTTTTATTTGTATTATTTTTTTTTAATAAATCAATAAAGACAACTAGTTAATCATTATAGTAATCATTACAGAAGCATCTGTCAAGATAAGTCGATTAGTAGGTTTATATGAAAGAAGTGTAGATAGTATGTACATATATGTCTTATGTTTATGTTCTAACTGTGATTATATTATTTCTAGTTATCTATGAAGTTACAGTTAGTTATGATAAAATTTACTGAAGTTCATGTACATCTATCCAATAGAAATAATTAATGATGCATGAGAAGACGGAATAATATTGAAAACAAAATGTTCACTATACTATAAATGATGATTAGATTTTCATGAATTTTTTTTAAAAAAAAGTATTTTAATACGCAGTGATTTGTTGGTAATGAAAATAATAATTTTAGATTTCATAGTTTATATCATAGATTAATCTTAGTGAACCAACTAATGAAGACTAGAAGACACTAGACAGCTGCTTTTGTCCTAGTCTGTGATTAGTTAACAACATGGATCCATAACTTTACTGGCGACTAAACTGAAGGTATTCAGAAGTGTTGGCGAAAGCTTAACATTTTGACAGCTGAGCTGGAATCCAATTGTTTGGATTAGTAACTTTAATCAATTAGCAATATAATTCAAGTATCTTCCAATGTAACTTAATAATATACTAATAAATTTGTTAAATATTGTACTTTTTCCTTCCTTAAGTATTTTGGAAAACGAAGGTTCACAAAAAATGGTTCAGTTATCATGATAGTTTGCAGTGAAGTGATTTGTAAAGACTTCATAACATTTTAGAGTTAACTATCATTACGAATGAGTACTCAAAAGCCACCTTGTAATCATATAAAACTTGACAATAATACATAACTATCACCTTATCCATGAAGTCTAGCTCAAATGTATCCAGTTGAGGATAATTGTTCTATTATCATAAATCTATTGGGAATAAGAATAATCTAATATGAACTCAAATACTTAAAAACATGATGTTGATCAAGAGAGACCTGAAACTTAAAATTGTTATTATCCTCACTTTACTTTTACTAATAGTTCTCTAGTTCGTGTCAGTTTGTGATCAAATCTGTTTTCAAGTGTTCTTAGAAAAAAAATATTTGCGGTTTTATAATCAAGCATATATCTTTAAGGGGTCAATTCATCTTTTACTAATCAGTATGATCAGAAGGGGGTTGTAGAGATTTTAGAAATTTCACAGATTGAAATCATGAGTCAATTGAAGCTAGACCACCATGAGAAACCTAAGACGAAACGGCCGTCCAGTGCTTCCAGGTTTTCTATGGTGGTCTAGCTTCAATTGACTCGTGATTTCAACCTATGAAATTTCTAAAATCTCCACAAACCCCTTCTGATAACGATCATCTGCTCACTAGTGACTGACTTCAAGAGATACTCCTGGAGTCCTAGTGAGAAACCGTTACCAGTGGAGTTCAACCAGGTCTGTTGTGAGATATCAGCTCAATGAAGACAATTGTATACAGTAGCGCAACTTCGTGGATTGGTTGGAGTTAGACATTAACACCATTGGATGTCGGCCGGCTCAGTGGTCTAGTTCAGTAGGCGCTCGCGTACGAGACTGATAGGTCCTAGGTTCGAATCTCGCGAGGTGGGATCGTGGATGTGCACTGCTGAGGAGTCCCGTACTAGGACGAAACGGCCATCCGGTGCTTCTAGGTTTTCCATGGTGTTCTAGCTTCAATTGACTCATGATTTAATCAGTATGAATAAATTACTTTCGTAAAATAGAATTGTACGATCCAGTTATTTTTTACATGTACCTAAAACCATTTTTTGACAAAATAAATGGTATTTCCCATTTACTCATTTTAATTAACTCAACAAATGTAAAGAAATTACATATTAATTTCTAAATAAAGTCAACGAAAATTAGTGTATTTATTGAGAAAAGGTGTCTCAGTTTTCATATCATCTTTAGATCATAGTTAGAATGTTAATGTGATACGTATTATGTATTCTATGATGTATTAGGCTTAAGACTGATGGATTAAACGTTTCGGTTCTAGTGTACTTATATTATATTGAATAAAGACTGAATATTACCAGACTTGACATTTAAATTTTGGGTTAAATTTCTACTCGGTTAATAAATTTTACTACTATTGTTTTTGAATCTAAATAATGTTAAATAATATTAGAATTTCACCTAGGAACTCCACTATTTACTCTTGTATTGATTAATAAGATTTCTAAATTACTGATAGGTATAACGAGTGTGTTTTCCAGAGAAAAAAAAACACAATCATATTATAACCCAATCAGAACTACAACATTTTGTCAGTTCTGTAAACAGTATACTCTATGTTTATACGAATATTCATCAAGATCAGAATGTATAGTTTGACAGAAATTGGGCACTGAGTAAAGATAAGTCATTATATGTGAAAATTATATTTAAAATAGTTTCAGCGACTGAAATTTGAATAATTACAACGTTTTGATGATTTTGATTTTGATTATTACCCTGTAAAAGCCCAGACAAGTTAGCTCGACAAAACGGTGGAATTGTTCAAATTTCAATCGCTGAGATTATTTCAAATATAATTTTCACATATAATCAGTATACTCTATGATTTTATTTTCACAAGATGATGAAATGTTTATGATCCTTACTAAATATTTAAATCCAGTTAGTCACTGACTTTGAAGTTGACTATATTTGAAATAGAAAAAGAAAATAATATTTGATTAATCATTGAAAATCATCTTATCAAAATATTACTCTACTTCTCGACAATTACTTCTTACAACATTAAACAGTTTGTAATCTATGAGCTGATTAGTTAGCATTATTAGTTGTTTTTTAATATTTAATTTAATTTATCAAACAAAACAAATAGATGTGTAATATCTATTGAGTTGAGTATGTAACTGTATATTTGTTCATTCATTATAGATAATTATACACATTTTAAGGATGACGTGAAATAAATAGGATCATTTCTATCATGAGTTTATGAAACACAAAGTGTTTATAGGTTTGCTTATAGGTATGTTTGTAATAACAGTAACCTTTCTGGATATATATATATATATATATATATATATATATATATATATATATATATATATATATATATATCCATTTAAACGTCATTCGTAAATATTGTTCGTAATATACGTCTTACAGTCTTTAATGTATTGGTAAACATAACAACTAATCCTATTACTGAAATTAATTACTGATAAATAAGTATAGCCATTCATTCCTATGTCCTTAGCTGTGTAATGTAAGTGTGAATACAAACAAATGTGATGTTAACATCATCATTGAGCACGTGAAAAACCTTCAGGAAAAATATCTTAATCACTTTTAAATTTAACTTTATCCTTTTTTATATGGGACTTTTCTTATCATAAGTTTAGTTTAATGACAATAATCAAGCTGCAACTGTTTTTATTGAGTATGCATATACATTTGAATGTCACTGTAGTACATTTTTTAAATATGTGAATTACTCAAATTATTTTGTCTAATGTTAATAACATCTTGAGTAAGTATCTGAGAGAAACATCCAGTACAAATTAGTCTTGGTAATTACCATCATAACTGTTTATTACCATAGTTTTCATCAAAACTATGATCGATTTTCTTCAAGTTTACGTTGTAAATACTACCTTCTCATGAAAAATGTTGAAATCACTTTACAGGATAGTAGTAGTACAATGAATTTCTTCATTGAATCTCACTAATGAAGTATATTACTTGTGATAAGTCAACTTACAAATGAATTAAAATAAATATTATAACCTTGAAGTTTTATATATTAACTTACCTTCCACTTTTAGTAATCACCATTTCGGTACCATGACAGTGAAATTTATCCCATAATGACTTATCAATTAATTCTACTTCTGGTCGAATCCCACTTGTTTCTGACGATGTTGTCGCTCCTGTTGATGACGTAGGAGATGTTGATGACAGTAATAAATTTGATGAGTCCATGTTAAATTGATGACTGAAATTTGGTTGCAACAACAATGAATTTGGACATGATTTGAAATTGGTTGGTAATGATGACGATGATGATGGTGATGTATTACTGCTGTTTTTCTTTGTATCTTTATCTTTTATCACTTGTAAAGTGTCCATTTTCCAATTATTTATTGCGTGACTGTTCATACTACTCATACTGTTATTACTATTATGATTATCATTACTATTATTATTATCATTATAATTATTATTATTATTATTACTGTTGAATAATAGATGTGATCCCATAACAGACGCTACAGCATTCATAATTGAATTAATATCTGGTGTATTATTGTTTATATTGTCAATACTATTATTAATATTATTACTACCATTGTTTATACAACTGCCAAGATTCATTCCATTGATCAATGAATTACATGGTGATGATGTTGATGACATTTTAAAATTATTTGTAGCTAATGCTGCTGCAGCCATTGCTGCCATTGCTATAACCGATTGAGAATAATTCATTTTCATATTATGAACATCATTTAGAACAGATGTAGCTACTGTAGAAGTAGTTATTGTATTCATGGTTGTAGTTAGAGTACCCGACAACTGATGATTATCTCCTGTAGTTTCCTGATTTTGCTGATTTGAATCTACAGTTAAAAAACGACTAGGAGAAAATGATGAATTAGTTTTTTGTGTTGTCGTAGATGACACTGGTGTTGAATTGTTTGTATTGCCAATCATCGATGAAACAGTGGGTCCAGTTGACTCAGTCGTATTTTTAAGACACTTGAAAAGAGAATGTGTTTGATCATGTTCATTTGTATCTTCAAACGATGATTCAGATAAACTGTGATTATTTCTGTTCGCTTCTACTAAATTTTCACTTAAATTCGATGGAGATTTGAAATTACATATTAGATCAGCATAATGTTTCTTATCCCATACGTTATTATTTAACCATGATGGTATGGGTAATTTCATGGATTGTTGATTTCGCTGATCATAGAAATCTGTGACTGTGCTTGGATTCATCGCTGCTGTGGACATGGTTAAACTAGATTGTGAATCTAAACGTGAATTATGTATGGAATGAGATATTGGTAAATTATTTGATTGTAACCCTAGTAAGTTTGGTAATCCAAGTACTGAATTTATTCGAAAATTACGATTCTCGTTGTGTGAATTATGATTATGTGATAAATTTATCAATTGTCCTGTGGAAGAATTAAAAGTCATTATTCTTGAAACATCGAATATGTTGAATTGGTGTACAACAAAACAATTTCTAAATTGATATATAATAATATACCCAATTACTTGAACAATTTAAATGTAAATTTATGTAGAATGAAATTCACTTGTTGGCTGTCTCGTTGAAAATATGTGGGAACTATTCATATAAGACTGAGAATAATAATATAGGGGTAGAAAAATATTAGAAGTCGCTGATATCTTTGATAGGTGGTGAAGTCAGCACCTTTTGGCGTGATTTTCATATAAAGCGTAAAGCATAACTAGTATCCAATTGGGAATGCAGGTGTGCAAGATATTGAAATTAAAGAGTGGGGCAGACTAATCTATTTTACATTTCTGTCACATGGATTGTATTATTTTTTATTTTCTATTAAATATGTGCCAATGATTAAATAGAATGATTGTGTGTTATACACGTGTGGATAAGATTTTTTGTTCAAATCTATGTTCACCTGTAGGCGGCTTGAATCAATCACATCATTAGCTATCAGTCTCACCCACTACTTCTCACCCTTATAATAGACACACCAAAAATCAGTAATTCTATTGGTAAAATGAAAATTAAGTTGACTATTAATCGAGACATTTATTATAATTGGTCAATCACACCTTAAGTTTATAACTGCGTGAACATCTTCTTACTTATAAACCCTTACCCTAAATTAAACTGAGTTCGATTGTATTTAAGACATATACTATTTGTCTCAAAGCAACATGTGAAAAGTAGCAACGGCTTTTGGGATCATGTGATTCGGATGAATACATTATATAGGAATACTACTACCCTTGTCATAAACTATTCTATAAGAGTATCTGGAGGGAAGAAATTTCTTGTGAAATTAGCTTTTTTTAATTAGCAATTAATCAGCGATAGCAAATAGGTTCCTTGTGTTGCAGAATACTTGGCACCTTATTGAAACTGGGAAATTATATAAAAATTTAACTAGAGTTGTTTCTAAAATTGTGAACCATTAAAACAAAGTTTTATTTTGATCATTTCAGATTAACATGTTTTAATCGTTTGTATTAGAAACCAGCATTGGTTAAATCAGCATGTGATGAATAGATGTTCTGTTGTTTTTATGTAGCAATCGCTTTGCAATACACAATCCTTGATTTTATTCTCAGTCGTATCAAAAGGAGATTCTGGGATATTATAATGATTTCAATAGTTGAGATCATGAGTCAATTGAAGCTAGACCACCATGGAAAACCTGGAAGCATTGGACAATGGTTTCGTCCTATCGTATGACTTCTCATCAGTGCGCATCCCGCCTCGCGAAATTCGAATACAATATTGATTGATCTTGAAATTAATGAGTTTTATTCCACAAATTGAATCACAATACAACTTTTAGGTACAGTAGACAAAGTAAAATTTCAATGTTAATTATCTTATTTTATTCAAATTAATATTAATAGGGATAGTAATCCAAATTCCCTGGTTTAATATCTATTCTTTTTTAAAGGTATCTGATGAATATACTTCGGATTCTTAATCTGAATTATTAAATTTTATGTAAAGTCTAATAATTCAAAATTTATCATTTATATAATTTAATTCTGTGATTATGTTAATCTGAGATACTTTTACAATATTTAAACTTTTTTTATACTACTCATTCACTCTCATACAGATAGTACTGATTAAGAAGATTCAAAAATTGTATTCTAAGTTGAAAATAAATTTGAAAGTGGAAATAAAGTGAATTATAGCAAACAAGTAATCAACTTATTATTATGCAATTGACAAGTAAAAATATACGCACATTTTTAAAGACAATGTTAGATGTAAAGAAAATAAAATTTTGAAATCTCAGTAACATACAATGAAGACTTACGCAATTCGAATGTTTACTGTGAATAAACTTATTATGACAATACATTAGCAACAAAATCTTTAATATGTTAGATCAATATGGTGTATTAAGGTGTGATTAATTAAAAATCAATGAATCTTAGTAAAGATGGATATGTTCATATGCTGAGCACTGAGTAAAATGATCGCTCAAACAGAAACTAATTTAATATGATAAGAAGAGAAATACTGTTGTGTTGTGTGTATAGACCAAAGAGCCAGAGTAGAGTAGAGTGAGTGATCTCAGAATGAATATTTCAAGCAATGGAACATGTTCTGTTAGTTACTGAATTTAAAATATTGTTTAAATAACTAAAAAGTAGATTAATCAATGGCACTGAACAGTGGTCAAATTTATAGTATTGATGAATAGTTATTTTTATAAGATCATTCAGTCAATGACTCGAAATGACAGTGTATTCTATATGGTAATGAGTAATCACAGCTTATTAACAGGAAACCGTTATCAGTCTAATAGTATCCTTATTTATAACAAAGAAATGCATCATTCTTTACTTACATATCGACGTCTGTAATGTCGTAATTTTTGTTCAGTGTTGTTCTTTGTAAACTTAACAAATTTCTCAAATAAAATATCTTTTTGTAAATTTAATGTAAAAGTGAATGTGTATTCCATACTAGTCCATAAGATGGTAAATGGACTCTTGGGTTTATCTTCAGATAGATTCGAACCAATATCACTCAGTATCTTAGGTGTATATGTACTGTACACAAACAAACGGTAATCAGAGTCAAATCTAGCTCACCCCAACTTTTTAAATAACAATAATAACAAAATAACGAAACATAACTAATTACGTATATTATTAATTGTATGTGCTTGTGTCTTCATATTGTTAATATTCAAGACTGAATTCTCTCAGTATTTATTGTTACATCGACTATTTTAGCAAATGTTGATGGAGGTTAACGATGAAATTTAATTAGTTTGCAAGAAAACCATAAATTTTCTTGTTTATCGTTGAATAAATATAACTTTGTTGAAATATTGGTAACGTTCGTGATTTAATATTTTAGTCGACGGTTATTGAGTTTGGGTCTCGATTAGGACAGCGAATATAGAATACAATTATATTCAGCTGGCCAGCCTTAATACTAGTCGATCATTAAAATACGTAGGTAAGCAGTTTCTCTTCTGAACATAGGTACCTTGGGATCATTGTATTTATATTTGAAACGGAGCAGTAGAGAATATTAAAATTAGAAGTAGAGTATTAAAAATATTTTTTGTTTAATGTGGATCAGACATGTTCCATGTTTTTCCAGCCATAATCTAACTTGTATAGAAGTAGTCTGGGTGGAAGTCAGTGAAGACTAAACCAAGGCGTGACAATAGTCCATGGAATCATCGAATACTGGAGTGAAAGATGATGAAAGGTGTATACTACTTCATTGAAGTTGGTGCGATAACTGCAATCAGTTATTGAAGTGATATTGGGTAATATCTGTCTTAGAATCGATCATATTAGCGTAGATTTACTTATCTTCTCCTAGATCTAGAGTTTCCATTCATTCTTTTTCAATCGTATTATCTAACAATTATTCCTTTCCATCATAATTGATACTACTTATATTATGTTAATTTTCTCTCAATGCACTGATACAGTATGACAATTTAAGTCTGTTCTTGTTAATACTATAAGCGACTGAATATGTTAATTTTAATTACTTAACATTCTGTTACATTTACAAAAAACAATTTCACTACTGAATTTCTTTAAAATCCATTAAAATTTAAATTACTAGTATAGGGATTGTAGATATTGTGAGGTTTTTGATCGAGATCATGGATTCGAATCCCACGTGCGGTATCGTGGATGGGCACTGCTGAGGAGTCTCACAATACGACGAGACGGCCGTCCAGTGCTTCCGGGTTTCCGACGGTGGTCTAACATCAATCGGTTAATGGCATTACATTCACAGCCACATATCTTCATCCGAATTGAACTTATTACGATTATATAAATAGGATTGTTTATACAATGAATCAGTAATTTGATGGCTATTAACAGTAATCACACAGACGATTGGCAACTCAACTGAAGTATTCTTTGGTGGTTATGTGTTATTCCATTTAAATGGTTTGATTTTGAAGCATTCTGAATATCATCGATGCCTACTTAAGTTATTCATAAAGTGAGTATTAGTGATATTCAGAACACTTAACACTTAAATTATTTAGTTTAAATAACAGAATTACCCATCATATGATCTTATTCATAATTAATCCAAATCTTTTTTGTACCATTTACGTCTTTCTTTCTATATAGTTTAATCATGGTGAGTTTTTTCTCTATTTTATGCATAACTTATTACTTTTATCTATCCATCTTTTAAATCTGTGACATTCATTGCACAAGTTATTAATGGGCATATACAATCTAGATAAATAGTTTGAAGTAAATTAACAATTCAATGTTTTCTTTCGTTTTACAGTTTTTTTTCTCGCAGATTAGATAGGGTTCCTCTTTTTATTTTATGAGATTAAATTATCTTACTAACCATCTTTATTTAAAGTTGTCTGATTCAAAATAGAATGACAACTGGTGTATGTTTTTTCCTTGATACAATAAATAAAAATAGCCATCTTATCATGAAATCAGTGTTCTACTTTTTTTTTTAAAAAGGAATGTAATCGACACCTGTAAAACAATTTTAAGTTTCAATCATTGTTAAAACATAAATTGGTATCTATTCCGTTGGGATTTAAATGATTTACACAATACTTATTTATGGTTTTCATTATTAAAATAAAAACGATTTACTGATAGGAAGGAAATAAACTTGTAATTAGTATTAAAAAAGAAACAGACAGTGGTTAACAAAAATATTTAGATGAAATATATTATTTCACAGATTGAAATCATGGGTCAATTGAAGCTAGACCACCATGGAAAAAACCTGGAAGTACTGGACGGACGTTTCATCTTAGTATGGGACTCCTCAGCAGTACGCATCAACCAGGTTTGTTGTGAGATATCAACTCTCTGAAGACAATGGTGTACGGTTGCGAAACTTCGTGGATTGGTTGAAGTTAGACATTAACACCATTGGATGCCGGCCGGCTCAGTCGTCTATTTGGTTAAGCGCTTGGCGCGAGATGGATAGGTGCTTGGTTCGAATCTCGCGGCGGACGAAATCGTGGATGGGCACTGTTGAGGAGTCCCATACTAGGACGAAACGGCCGTCCAGTGCTTCCAGGTTTTCCATGGTGGTGTCCACAAACCCCTTCTG